TCTTGAAACCCGACGGCGGAGGAAAGCAGGAAAGCTGTTGATGTCTTCGTGTGCGATGGCGGAAAGCGAGACTTGTGTAGCTAGTGCGTTTATTGTACATATAAGTGCTTTATTTTATGTGATGTATGAACTCTTTGAGTCCATGATGTAGTCTTGATGAACTCGTTTTGAATTTAGTCATTCACTTGAATTAATGCATAATTTATGCATTAAGGACCATGTAAATTCTTTGTTGTTTAAAGATCTTGCTACAGTGTGGCATAATGCTGATTGGATTGCTTTACACTTCGAGTAATTAATTTAATCATCAGAACTTCGGAAGTACAAATTTCAGATTAATGTGGTTACATATATAAATGAGATATACGATGCGGACACTTTTCTGAGTTTCTTTTTAATCAATAATAACAAAATGAACGAGTTGAAGTTCATCAGTCAATTGCAGCAGTGTTAATAGAGGGGATTTTTAGCGCAAGTTATCCAGCCATCTTTTTAATTCTGTTCTTATTGTAAAATGTGTAAGTAGGTTATAGATATTTTATTGTTTAATTTCATCACAGTTAAGAACTATTGGGGTTGCTTGTTACTTTAGCTGATAAGTGAATTTATATTACCTACGCAATTACATTATATTAATTTAGGTTGCTGAAATGGGTTTCGTAATCGCTGACTTTTATATTTGATTTTTGGAGAAGTCGTCACTTGCCTTCCTTACAGGGAGGTAATAGTTGCAGCAACTCAATGAATGGTAGAGAGATAGAGAAAAAAAGAAAGTAAGAATGAAGGACAATGTGACGACGTGTTAGAATAGGGTTAGAATAGTGGTAGGTAGTGTAAAAAGTGTTATTCAAACATCAAATTGGGGAATAAATCTAATGTAGGTACAGAATTAAGTTGTCTATACCACTACTCCGGCATAACATTCTGACTGAGGTATAGTTTTTGCAAAATAGCACCGGACAGGGAAGATCATAAAAATTAAGCAACAAACACGACTCTAATCGGATTACAACGTACACTATCTCTTTTAGCCGGTCGCCGGGTGGTTTACCTAGAAAATCCTAGAAACGATACTCAGGGCAGGACTCTATTCTGTTTGTTCTATTGTCTTGGTACTTGCCGCCTTTCTTAATACCTAATTAACATGTTCATTGTTGCTTAATTTTTATGATATTTCCTGTCCGGTGCCAGTTTGCAGAAACTATACCTAATTCTTTGTGCAATGAGCAGGTCTTTCGGCCTGGTAGTTGGCGAGGCAAGTGGATAATGCGGTCTATTATGTAACAGCCCTTGCCCCGTGAGTATTAGTGTGTGTTGTAGGTAGTAAATCTCACAACTTAACCAAATGTCGAATACTGAACAGAGCTCAATCGCTTCGATCAAAACCATCGATTCTGTAGCAGTGATCTATGATGTGGACTTCCTATCCGGACTTGGTCTTGTTCGTATTTAAATTTGTCGCCATGCCTTCGTAATAACTTGAGTATTCATCGAGTTATTTTAATGATGGATTTTTACAGCGCTTTTCAACTCTGGGTGTGGGTTCTTCTAAAAATTATAATTAAATTTAGTTTTGAAAATTTAGTTTTTTTTTAATGTGTTAAAATAAAGATATCTGTGAGCTGTTAAAGCTACGCCTCGGTTTGAAGTAATTTATTTTTGTAACAAAATTTTGTGATTACGTCTTCAACATTTTATCAAGACAACGTATATCAATTTGAATAGGTGAAGTGCAACACTGACTATTAACAACGGTACTGTGTATTCATCTTTTTGGTTAGGGTAAGCCGTTTGGATTTGATAAAAAAAATTAACTTATTGATTCATTATTGTGTCACCTTGTATGAGTAATAAGTAATAGGCATTTAAAACTATGAATTCATTGATAATAATAATCTGCGTATTTTAGATAGGATTTATTCAGCAATGACGCCATCAGTTTTTTGGGAGGGAGTTAACTGATAAATTTTGATTACGGATTCACCATGCTTACGACAACCGTAACATGTTTGCAAGATTTCAGAGCATTCCGTTGTACTATTTCAAGTTAATTTGTAAAATGTTGTTATAAAATTTTGATATTGTTACGTTGATTGGTGAATAAAATAAATAAATATAATAAACTCAACAACTTATTTCTTACTAACTCGAATTTACACGACTAGCTATTACAGGGATTATGTACAAAATAATTCCCGCGCAACATTCACTGGGTTTTCTCGACACTCGTTGGACTCGACTTGTTAACTGAATTCAGCTCTCGTTGTCTGGACAACTCTAACAGCTCCCGACCGTGGTTTCCATTCAAACAGCACGTGGTCCTTCTCGAAACGCCTACGTCACCGCTTCTAGACTTCTCTGGAGCACCCATTCGCGACTTCCGCTTTCAGGCATTCTGACAGTTGCTGTAACTTTGTCACCGGTAATCTTCAGCCCCAAATCTTGAAAGTTACTGGCACTGCACCCAGTGTATAAATTTAAATGATTGCATCTACCTGAATGAATTATATGTGGCTAAAGTCGGCAGAAGCAACAGTAACCCAAATTAGTAATATCAATAGAAATTTCATTGCGATAAAAAATACTCATCAGTGTCCTGCACTTGTTGCTTTGTATTTGTGATTATGAAGATAGTGAGACTTCGTAATCTATGTAATTGAACTATAATCAAGATTTTTATGTCTGCTCTAATTTAACAATAAGTACTTGAATAATATCACTTTTTTGTAGTGTATTGCGTTTGAATAAGTAATATGCCATCTTATTTACTCCTATATAACATCTTCAATTACCTTTTTTTCCTTTTATTCCTATCTTTCTATCTCCATGTTTCTATTAATGTTATTGATTATTAAAATAACCCAAATCATGAAACTTTCTGTCTTCTTGATAACTGACAAAATATTAAAGATACATTGTTGGACTACTGTAGTAACTCAGTACATAATTATCATTATTATCATCATCATCATCTTTAAACTTTTTTATTGTTAATCTCTATCGACCTAACAAAATGTTTCGTATACCAGCACTTGATTGAACTAAATTTCAAGGCAAAATATAAAATTCGAAAGCAGTTTTATTTTTCTAATTTAATTGGTGCTGGTTTTTCAGAGCCCATAGATTACGATATCGACTAATGTTACTTATTACTTTGAAATGTTAATGGTACGTTATCCTGAAGATGATGAGCGCCACGAAATTTATCACTCATGTAAAAATTGATGTTATCTCAAATAGTCAGGAGTATTCTTTTTTAACGTGTAGCATGCAACACTCGTTTACTTGTGGTATAACAATCCATTTCTGATTTTATCTTCTCTGATATGAATTATTCTAAAAAATTAGAAGTTTAAACTCTCAAATCATAAAATTTATTCCAGACATTACATGTAAAATTTCTTTGAAATTTTGTTATAACATAAATCTTATTGAAAGATATGCTCTGAGATGTGATACCTACTGTTTGTGTTAAAGTAGTTCGTTTTTGCTTTGAATTTTTGAATGTATACCTACCTACGAAAAATACTATAACAATATTATTAACAGTTTGAGTTCGTAAAATAATTAGCATGAAAATATATTCTGTCGTTGTCAGTTGGCTTTGGTGTTGGAAATGTCTGTACTTGACAAATACATAAAATTTCATGTATACCTTTGAAATTTAAAAAAAAAAAAAAACTGTCATTGGTACCACCGAAGCGTTCCTTGATCAGTTTGAAGGATTACAGTCCAATGATTGTCAAATATAAGGTCAAATAACTGCAGTGTCAACATTTTAAAAATAAATTTCATAGCCTACTAATTTTTTTTATGATATGGTATTTACAATAAAAAAGAATATTTATTAAAGAAGTTTTTAACAGAGCTAAGTTACCTAAGTATATTTGTTTTTATAGTAACACTAGATGTATTGTTTCTGAATACCCAGATTTTCTGGAAAACTGGAAGACTTTGATTTTAGTTTTAAAAAACGAAAGCGTTTTACTGAAGCAATACTATATTTTAAAACTTTTTTATTACCAAAGACTTATTAAATTAATTAATTCAGTAGGTAATATTAATTCTTTATTTAGTACGTCATTAACGTTTTGGAGGAATAAATGTTAGTTAATGTTCTGAAATTTCTAGTCAACAATATTAAATCAAAATTAAAAAAATATATATCTTCCTCACATAGTTTTGAAGATAAATTACAAATTTTGCCGTTGTCAACTTTAGTGTTATTATCTTTATACAACTCTTATGCGTACAAATAAAATGAAGATGGCCGTAAAGAAACATTTTGACTAATGATGCATCTTCTTCGCGATGCGATAGTTTTAAAATACACCTAAAGTCTGAGTATATACAAATTATACAAATTGTTAACACTTTAGAAAATATAATATGTATACTATTCAATAATATCGTCTGAAAGACGATTTCATGAAATGAAAACCTAATAACTGAAAACAGATAGATCATGAAGAAATAGGCTGATAACTGTGACAATGCAGTGGGACACTTTTCTAATTTTGTATTACAAGCATTAGAGTTAAGACTCAATATAAAGAAAAACAAGTACTGTATAAGTACTACCAATAAAAAGGGTTACAAATGCTTAATTAATTGAAACAATATGGGAACTAAAAAATATGACTCAGTTGTTTTTCATTTTATAAAAAACCAAACTGTGCAAATTTTATTTTCGGATGAGTCATTTTAAATTTGCACGTAACGGAAATGATTTATTGATCTGTGCAAACAAAAAACAAACAAGGTCTTAGTCATAATTTAACTTTTGTGTAAATGAGGAGATTAGTTTTTTGTTTATTGTATATTATAAATATTTTTTACATAATAACAGATTTTTGAAACTTGCAAATGGTTTTACCAAGTAAAATTTAGTCTTATCAATTGCCTAATTATTTACTAACTTTTAAGTGTTTAGATAATATTCAAAAACATTATTTAAATACTTACCAAAAATTGAAATTGTTTAGACATGAATACATTAGCGGGGTATAAAAGAGAGTTGGAAATTTCACTATGCCCAGTTTGTTTTGAAACAACGTTCACAGCTTTCAACCATGTTCCAACAGTTAAAAGTGAGTACCGTTTTATTGTTATTTGCTTTCTTTTTTGTGTACCTACTTGTACTATTTTCCACAAAACTTTAAACTTATGTCTCGTAAAGTACAAAACTGAGTTTTCTACCAACAAAGAAGAGCAACGTCGAATTAGTACCCAAATTATTTTTCTTGTATAGGTTTTTACTCTGGTTGCATTATGGGTCGCTAGTGTCCTAGTTGCTGTAGCAGCAGAGACAGGATCACAAGGAGAAGGACAAGGCCAAGAACATGGACAAGGACAACATGGTCGTAAGTGTCTAAAATTATACAGCAAAATAATTAAAAAGATACATTTTGAAAGTCATCACTACACGAAACTCAAATGAAATTGTTAGATGATGCGATCTATTCTGTGCATTTCTTTTTATTTGTGTGTTCACAGAATAGACCTACTATGGCCTAATTTAATATGAAGTTGTTACATTTTTATTCAGAACAATGTTTCTGTATAAACACTTATATTTTTATTATTTCTTTTAGACTAAGAAACACGATCGACCCTTTGGACATTGAGAAGAATGAAACTGTTTACTGGGTAAAGCACTTATAATGGCACGTTACGGCAAATAAAAAAAGTAAAAAAAAAAAAATGTGTTTTTCTTAAAATTCACTGTTATTTCATTCAACTGTTTGATCAGTTGATTTAAAAGAAAGGGTGAGGTTTAATTGATCTGCAAATAAAGTACGATTTTGTCAGTAAAATGGCTGATTGAACAGAAAATTATGGGTATGTGATCAGCTAATAATATTTTTGTGTCCAGCCGAAAAAGTACATTGGCATCAAAAAATTCAATCAATGTCGAATTGTGTTCACTCTTTAACTAATTTCTACATAGCAAGCTATTTTTTATCATTTTAACTGCTAATAAAATAATGGTACAGAAAACAGCTAATAATAAGGGATCTCAAATAAACCGATCTACTAGCATTTTTGTCCAACTATAATATTTAAGACAAATAACAATGCAACAAAGTACGCTAAGGTAAAATTAATACTTATTTCAAAAAATAAAATTGTACAATAAGAGCTCGCTTAGACTTAGAAGTTCTTCCTCTTTTTTTTTCACCGATTGGTATAGTTTTAGCTGTAAGCGGTGGAACAACACATTTTAAGCGAATTGCAAGCCCAATCACATGCTTACATATGTACATTTTAAAATATTTAAGACAATTGCATCTGCCCTGTTTCCACTCTGCACTATCAAGCGGGAATAAAACTTCCCAGGTGCTAAAGTATTGCTTTTTTAGTTCGTCGAGAGTTTCCCATTTTTTCTCATAACATTTGCATTCAATTGCTTTTTGAGCTGGCACTTTGTAATATGAGAAACTTTTATCGCTCTTCAAGCATTCAATTTTCTTGTTTAATTTAGCCCATTGATACGATTTGGTCCAATTTTTCAAAGCTATTGTGGCAGATTTTGAAAATGTGTTTGAATGAAGATAATGGAAATCGTTCTCGCAAAGTATTACTATCTTTGATAGTCCTGTTAAAAGGTTCTAAGGCATTATTTGTAGAAGGTGATAAAGGACTTGCCTCTAAGTACCAGTTCGGTCCATCTGATACGTTCCACCCAATTGCTTATACTTTCAGATAAAAAATAATTTATTTTGCTGCTCATGTATAAAATTCCCACATATGTCAGCCAATCTGCTGCTCAATTATACTTTTTGCTGACAATTTCTTTCTACATGCATTTACTTGCCGCTCCAATATTTGATTAGTTTATCAAAGACTCAAATTTTACTAACCATTGTTTGATGTTACCAATAATTGTGTATTTCTTTACACCCAGAATAAAATTTTGTGTGCACTGTAAACATACCATCAAAATGCCTGTTGTATGTAAGAAATGCAGCAAAAGTGCTAATGATAATGATGTAATAGTGTGCGATCTATGCAAGTCACTTCTATGTTGCATTTATCACAAACTTCGATATTTTTGTGATAAATGCAACATAGTCGAGATAATCGGAGGATTAAGGGCAGAAGTTGAAAAATTGAGAAGTGAAGTCGCCGAGTTAAAGAACGAAAAAACAGGTAACGTACTTAACAAATTGTTATCAAAAGAAGAAATTATTAGCGAGGTAGATGATAGGCAGGGCCGAGCCACCAATTTGATCGTTTATAATTTACCGGAATCAGATGATAGGACCGTAAGTAATTCAAAACGGGATGACATTTCTCAGTTTGCTGCACTTGTCTCGTCAGAGGACTGGAAGAATGAAATTGTTCCTGATAAGTGTTTTCGATTAGGGAAAAAAGTAGAGAACAAACGTCGTCCACTGTTAATTAATTTCAAGTCTAGTACTGTCGTATTACCTATCAATATTACGTAACTACAAAGCTGCCAATAATATATATATGAATCGCGATTTAACTGCGAGACAAAGAAACATTGCATATTTGGTACGTGAAGAATTCAGGTCACGTAAAGAAAATGGAGAAGGGAACATAAAACTGAAATATACAAATGGAGTGCCAAAAATTGTTAATATTGTTAATAGCAGTATAACTGTTGACCCAAAAAATGCTTAAGTGTCCAACGTTCAAGAAAAATAGTCCATAATATGAATTTAATTTATCAGAATGTAAGAGGGTTAAATACAAAAACTGAAACATTTTATAGCAATGTTGTAGACTGCGATAATGAAATCATTGTACTAACTGAAACATGGCTATGTGATGAAGTCTTGTCAAGCGAATATTTTCCACCGAAGTATTGTGTTTACAGATTTCGCAATGGACGTAGAGGCAGAGGTGTAATAACTGCTATTCGTACAGACTACATATCATATCAGGTCACCAATCATTCGTCTATTAGTGAAGTTGATTTGCTAATAGTAAAAGTAGTACTACGTGATAAAATTCTAAATGTAATAAACGTGTATTTCGCTCCAGAAACTAATTCACTCATCTATGAGACTATTATTGAATATATTGAGAATATGATAAACACATCTGAGTTATCGTTAATAGTTGGAGATTTCAACATACCCATCTTTGCAGAATATTACTTCAAACCAGAACCATCCACAAATGTCAGACCTGTTTATAATACTCTAGCGACGTTTATGCATTTTAATTCCCTTAAACAACATAACAACATTTTAAACAGTAACTTAAGAATTCTGGATTTAATTATATCTACAACTGATCTTCACTGCGATGTATCAAAGTATGAATTACCTCTTGTAAAAGAAGATAAACACCATCCGTGTTTACTTACACAAATCTCTATTGCTGATAGCTAGAGAGCGGATTTCTGTCGGGCTAGGCAAGGCCAAACTCGGTACGGCTCGTACGGGATGCGAATTCATTGAGGTTACGGACTGCGCTTCGTTTATTTGAGATTAGAATAACGCTGTTTCGTTGCACTCTGCTGTTAATTCCCGTTCTCATTTACTTAACCGTTTGATTAATAAATCGTTAATTGTATTTATGGAATAAGTGACGATTAAATTTAGTGATTATCTATCACCCGCTACTGAGTCCCGGCGATCCAGCGCGTCCCCACCTATAATCGTGACGTAGCCCGACAGAAATCCGCTGTCTACTGATAGCAAAGAAGTACCGTTCAATACTAAGGAGATCTATAACAATAATTGTCATCGATATAATTTTCTCAAAGCTGATTTGCCAAACCTGGATTGTGAATTTGGCCGAATAAACTGGAATGACATAACTGAAATCAAAGATGTTAATTGTGCCGTTGACCATCTGAATGGCAAAATGTATAATCTCTTTGATAAATTTGTTCCAAGAGTTAAGGTTCGATCTAGTACTAATTTTCCACGTTGGTTTACATCCGAAATTATTAATGATATAAAGACGAAAAACAATTACAGACGTTTGTATAAAAAACACAAATTCTTAGCTTATATGGATAAAGTTAAAAGTCTTAATGGGAAAATAAAGAAAAATATCAGAAAGGAATATGGTAATTTTAAACAATTAGCTCAGGATAGAATAAAAAGTGAACCGAAGCATATTTGGTCGTACATTAGAGATAAGAAAAAATCTAGTGGAATACCTGGAAGTATGAAGTATGGTCACAATGAATTCTCAACTCCACAGGATATTGTAGAAGGGTTTGCACAACATTTTAGCAGTGTTTATATTAAGTGTGATGGTACTTGTGATAGTAAGTACAATGACTGTAATAAATCTGCTGATACTTTCGACCACGTTTGCTGTAACTGTGACAGTGTCTGTGATAATAATTTATTAAATAACGTGTTACATAAATTTATAGTGTCGGAGAAGATGATTACAGAAGCTGCTCGTAGAATCAAACCAAATCTGACTATGGGACCGGACATCGTACCAGCTTTTGTAGTGAAAGACTGCATTACCTGTCTGATCACACCACTGTTGCATATTTTTAATCTCATACTGAAAACAACGAACTTTCCTACGATGTGGAAGATGTCTAAAATTTGTCCCATTTTCAAATCTGGTTGTAAGTCGGATATCGCCAATTACAGACCAATATCAATTATATGTAATTTCGCTAAGTTGTTTGAAACTATACTGTATAATAGTGTATATGCTCATGTAACACTTATGATAAATGATTGTCAACCTGGTTTTATCAAGGGAAGGTCCACAACAACCAATTTGTGTGAATTTACACAGTTTGTCTCGGAATCCCTTGAACAAAAATACCAGGTGGATGTTGCGTATACCGACCTGTCAAAAGCATTTGATAAGGTTAATCATTGCCTCTTATTAAAGAAATTACATTTATACGGCTTATGTGACGATTTACTTTTATTGTTTAGGTCCCTTATTGTTGGTAGGATTCAATACGTTGAATATAAAGGTTTCAAATCGACTTTATATGAGTCATATAGTGGAATTGCACAAGGATCCAGTCTAGGGCCATTGATGTTTATTATATTTATATTATATTGCTGACTATTGTAAAATTAATGAGAAAAGTTATCTATACTTATATGCGGATGATCTGAAAATAGCACAAATGATATGTGAACCCAAAGACTGTGAACTACTTCAAAAGATGCTTCACAGCCTTGTTGAATGGTGCAATAAAATAAGTTGGTATTAAATGTCAACAAGTGCTTTGTAATGATATTTTCACGTAAGATTCAGGATATTAGATTCCAATATCTCATAGATGGTACTGTATTGGACATTAAATCAGACTGTAGAGATCTAGGTATTGTTATGGATCGTGAACTGTCTTTTCTACCACATATAAATTACATTTGTACGGAATCTTACAAGTTATTAGGATTTATAGTAAGAAACACCAGAGATTTTTATAGTACGGAATGTTTATTAACTGTTTATAATGCGTATGTAAGGTCTAAATTAGATTATTGCTGTATACTATGGAGACCCTATTATAATACTCATATTATGACACTCGAAAAAGTTCAGAGAAAATTCTGTAAATACTTATTTTACATAAAACATAAATATTACCCATCAATAGGTTATCCACAGTATCAGCTGTTATGTGAATTTAAGTTATCAGAGTTGCATGTAAGGCGTCAGTTTATTGCAATTATATTTGTATACAAAATAGTCCATGGTATAATCAAATGTTCAAATTTATTAAGCAAAATATCGTTTCATATTCCTCGTTTGAATTCAAGAAATCCGGACACATTTTATATCGAATTTGCCAGAACTAATATGTATATGTATTCTCCTGTAAATTATATGGGTTCCTCGTATAATGAAATCTGCAATAAAGTAGATATATTTGAAAGCAATATGCAGCAGTTTACTGGTAATTGTAAGAAATGCTTGTATGACTAGTCACTATTTCCTTATTATTTTGTTACAATAGTGTGTATATATTTATGTAATTTTTGTATCCTACTATGGACAACTTGCCCGTTGGATAAATACATTATTATTATTAATAATTTAATTGCAGTTGAAAAAATATTTCGTTGATCGATCATTTTATTAGCTAAAATATCATGCTGAATAAAAATTTTAATTGCTGCAAAAAAAAATATTCCCAAGAAGAAAACAACAAACATCACTATGACCCAACATGCTAAAAACTATGTAGTTTAATAACATGTAGGTACTTATCATCCTTCATTACTGTCAAAATTTCTAAACTTTGTGAAGCATTTGTTAATTATTAGGGATGTACCGACTAGTGGCCGAACGGACTATTCGGCCGCTTTTCATCGTCGGCTGGCAGTCGGCGACTGGTCGGCAAAACAGCCGATCGGTCGGCTTTTTTTATTAAAATTAAAATAGTAAGTATATAAAACAATTAAACCCGGTTTACAGAACCTCAAATAAATATTTAATTGCGATTTAATTTTTAACCCCGCGTTAAAGTACCATGTGACCGACTCTACGTCAATGAGACGTCGCTAATGGCCTTGTTAAATGCGCGATCAACTTAATCTCAGTTAAAATATTGTATAAAATGGCCATAAATTGTGTTATTCTTTATTTTTGTACTGAGTTACAAAAAAAAATTAAATGTTAAAATTATCCAAACAAATTTAACACATTTTTTGGAAAACGAAGGAACTTTAGTTATTCCTTTTATTAAAATAAAACAAATTTTTAAGATAGTCAGAGAAATAGAAAAAAAAAACACACTGTCTGTCACATTTATAAACCGGTTTTAGCAAAGCCGAACAGTCGGCCGACTAGTCGGTTTTTACTGGCCGAATAATCGGCTAGTCGGTACATCTCTATTAATTATTCTTCTGTGGTTTAAACGTAATTATTGTGCCCGATTACATTTTGTTTATATTTCAAATTTTGTAATTGGTTATTGTTTAAAGTATGAACTTTTTACTCATAAACATCCAAACCTGTCAATAGTAAAAATGTTAAAGATGGTGACTATAATTTATTCGTTTCCTGGGAAGTTATATCGACTGAAACGGAAATGTCTTTGTGGGGACTGGCAAGTCGCACAAAATTGTATAGTATTTGTATATTTGTATACAGGGTGTCTCAGAAATAAGTAAATTAATTTTAATCAGTTATAGAGCGCATTGAACTCAACAACTTTTCTTAGTAGAGTTTTGTCAAGAACTTTTTAATTATCAAGTTAAAAATTGTTAAAGTTATACCCCAATTAAGGTTACCCGCCCATGGATCCTCAGTCACCCATGGACACTAATAATTATTATAATTAATAATTTATGGTCAAAAACAGTTACTAGGATACGTATTTTCCTAATCTTGTCACTGTGACAAACATTTAAAGAGAAATTGAAAATCCTGCTCCCTAATGGCGTACGGAATTTCATCGGCCCAAATATGGGTGTTGAACACCTTCCCTCGTGTAACCGACCTCATCAGTTGATGGTATAAGAGATACAAAATTTATTTGTTCGTTTATTTTTCTATTAACCCACTCACAAAAGTTTTGCCTACGTGGTAAGTCTGTTAGTTTCAATAACTGAACTTTCTGGTCCTGAAAGGGGTACATTTGTTCTCTGAGTATCCTCCAAATACTACTCTCCGATACATCACACTAGACAGTGATACGTGCTAGTGCCCGGTCGAGCTTCGACACTCTTCAAAACAGCCTCTTCAATATTAGCAATTCTATTACTACGTAACTTACCCCGATCCTGAGGTGCAGGTTTAAAAGATCCGTACTCTCGAAAATGCTGCAACGTTCTTAAAACTGCGCACATTTGGCAGACGATTTGGGAGGTTTTCTGAAAAAATTCCTTGGGCGCGAGTGCCGTTTCCCCGAGCTTCACCGTACGTTAAAACGATATCGGTGCATTCCAGATTTGAAAACAAAGCCATTTCAACACATTTCGTCTATAAATTAGAAATCTGTTCCAAACAAACTTTAAAGAGACAACGTTTAATAAAAACATTGACATAAAAATGATTGTCAGTGTCAAAACGGTTGCTACGGTACCTTCTTCATTGTTGTAGTGTTGCTATTATTTAAGTTATTATTTAAGGTGAAGATAGACGGCTCGTGAATATATGGGTGGGAAAATTCGAAATTCGACTTGAGTTTTCGAAAAAATGCTAGATAAAAAAGTGGTTCCGTTTCACAAGTTCTGTTACTGGCTAAAATTAATGTACTTATTTCTGAGACACCCTGTATAATCTATATTTAATTACTTCCAACCAGTATCACCCCCTATGTCGTACAACCTATCTTTTGTTCACCCTTCTCAATAATACTTATCCTTTCCCAGATTTCGAATACCTTCCAAGAATCCTTTAGACACAACTGTTTTCACCGCTTTCTACCGACCTTTCTTTTCATTTCAAATTCACAAACTTACAAACTCCAGGACTCTTCCCTCATCTGCTGAACCGACAACATCTAAATAAGTACGCCAAAACGGAAGTACTGTTTCAATCACCTGATCAACCCACAATTGGTGACACCGACGTGAGTTCTTTCAACATGGTGAGTGATCAGTGTACACACAGTGTCCGCGATTTCGGCGTTCCAACATAATTCGCCCTCCGCCCGCCCCGTTTAATTCAACGTGTGCACCGTATAACCATGTCGCCGCAAAACGACGATTCGACTACAAGAATGGACCAGCTGGAATCCATGCTCACAAAGGCACTTGTAGAGCTTGCTGTCATAAAAATGAATTCTGCAACACCCGACACGTTCGCGTTCCCGAGACCGACACCAGCGAGAAGACGACACCTGCTGATACCACTGGCGCTTCGGACAAAACGCCAGAAAATGTGAAAAGCTCTGCAGGTTCAATTCAAATGCGGGAAACGACGCAGGCAGTCGTTGATGGCTACCAACAATGCAAACCCGCAAACCTGCAGCCGATTATTCATCGCCGACCGTCAAACAAAAGTTCAGTTCCTCATCGACACCGGAGCTGACTTGTGCGTCTTCCCACACTGTGGGTCCGCAATTGTCTGCAATGCCAGAAGTCAAAAATATCGCGCCACGTTTCTGCGCTCATTGGCTCCTTTGTACCGCCTTCCGCCAGATTCGAACACATCCACATCGACATCGTTGTAATGTCGCCATCGGAGGGGTATAGGTACTGCCTCACCATGGTGGATCGTTTTAGTCGGTGACCGGAAGCAGTCCCAATGCCGGATCAGGAAGCCTCCACCGTAGCACGCGCCCTGTACGACCAGTGGATTACGCGATTTGGCACACCCCTGTGGATTACCACAGACCGCGGCAGACAGTTCGAGTCGCATCTTCTTAACCACCTAAACCGAATGCTGGGCACAACCCACTTGAAGACAACGGCGTATCATCTCGCCGCCAACGGCATGGTCGAGCGTTTACACCGCCAACTAAAAGCAGCGATCAGGTGTCAACAAAATGTGCGCTGGACGGAAGCTCTGTCCACCGTATTATTGGGTATCCGTTCCGCCTGACGAGATGACCTCCAGGGTACAGTCACCGAGATGTTATATGGCCAGTCTCTCCGTCTCCCCGGAGAATTCCTCAGGTCACACCGCTCCGACGACGACACCAGCAACCCTGTCGAGTTCGTGAGAAAACTCCGCCAGTACATACGCAACTTCGTCCTAGTGAAGCATCACGACACAACAAAGGGGAAATCTTCGTATTCAAAGACCTAGCCACCACGGACCAGGTATGGATACGTGGCGACAGCCCTAAACACCTTCTGCAGCAACCCTATGATGGTCCCTATCGAGTTGTGATCCGGAAAGACAGAACTTTCGTTGTCCACATCAATGGACGCAACGTAACCGTTTCCATCGACCGACTCAAACCAGCTTACGTAATGACGGAAGATGCAACCACTTCAACCAGCACTTCCGTGACAACAGCAGACGAGCAGGCACACACGTCTGCAGACAGCAGTCATGAGGATCCACCAGCTAGTACGACACCATTACCGACGCATCGCACCTCCAGGTCCGGTAAACGCGTCCGTTTCCCGGATCGGCCCCAAGGTGGATTTTCGTAATTCACACCCTTTCATTTCGCTTATGGTCCATGTATCCCGGTATCCAACTGAGCACAACCTTTTTGTTGTGCTCCGCTAAATCCTGCATTCGACTGTGACATTCCCAGGCAAGCTTGCTAGATAGCAGAGCTCTCAGTGTAGCCGGACTGTCTGTGAAAATGCAGATTTGCCTTCCAGAGAAAGTCCTGTGCATGCATTCTGTCACATTTTCAAACAACGCAAACATTTCTGCTTGAAAAACACTGGTGTGTTTACCCAGTGGATATCGAGACATTGAGATTTACGTCATGATTTCGGTATGTTCCTTCCACTCTCCTCGTGGAGCTATCCGCACTTTGCTTGTCAGTCTCTATCCTAGAGATTGTTGCGCCTTTCCTGGGTCGCGGGGCATGATTCGTATTGAATAGGATTTCCGGTGTTAGGAACGCATACCTTAATGGTAGAGATATGCCCTGTGCCTGAATTGAGCACATGGATGAGATAAAAACGTGGACAATGCTCTATACGGCAGACTCTCCTACTACGGCACGGAGATCCCGAATACAACCGAAAAAAGACAACTCGGTTAAGTACATTTGATCGGTCGATGAAGTACGAGGGTTGAATATGCTGCACACGCATAATTGACTGAATTGCTGATAAATCGGTAAAGTTCGGTGGAGAGATTCTTCGAGTACGTAACGATGGTGGACTGGTGGGGACTCTTGGAGAGGCTTTTGCCTGATGGCGGCAGCAGGGCCGAACTAGGCGAACCAACCAAACTGTTGATAAGCGGGACTCGACACAACTATCTCGGTTCTAATGCCGAATTCTATTACAGGAAGCTTAGTCCGTGAGAACGAGATAGGTCAGAAAAGAAAATGGATTAGACAACCTTGAATACCGGTATGGCTGCGAATTTAATTGGCTTTAAAGTGCTTTTATTGGTCATGCCGTCATGCGTGAATTATGGCCTAATTTGGACAAGAGATGTGTCGTCCACGTGGTCTATTGAACGATTTTATTGGTCAATGCTAGCTTCTACCATATAAGATTAGGAAATCTGTGCATCGGAACAAAGAAACTTAATTCCTGGAACAAAGCCTACACTTGGGACCAAGAGGGTGACTTTGCGAAGCCGTGGAAAGTAATAGATGATTTTAAGGACGAAGTTATGTGAAGATGACTCCAGAATTCAGGCTTTTTGGGACACATTTGCGAATTTGACATAAAATTAAAATATTTTAACACCGCATCTTCTCTCCTTTGTTTTAGAATTAACCTTTAATTCTGATTGTAGCTACTGTCCTTACGTTAAATTTACTAATATAGTAACGTGTTGCAAATGTGTAAGCAAATTTATTCGAGGGAGTTAAGGTTTACTCCCTGACAATTAAGTCATCATCTCATAAAGTATTCCTGTCCAGACATCATCCTCATACCTCGCACCTTGAGTTTTTTTTTTAATAATATAAAGGAGGACTTTGAAGAAGTTATTCGAGTACAGTACTCAAACAAATTACAAAAACCACCTTAGTGTGTAATGAATATTTTATTATTGTCGTTAAATTGTTAGTTAAGCTAAATTGTATGTATTTTATGTATCTTTGTATTCTGGGTTTGTAAATTTTACATTTATACTTAGCTTGGTTGTCTAAAACTGATTTTTTTTAATCGTGTTACCAAACCCTATAAGAGGGGACACGTAATATTACTATGAGTATAAAAATTACATCTACATGGTCCTATTAGTTAGACTGCTTAAGTCAATTTTATTTAGGCAAATCAGTTACATATTGGTTGATAAAATCAATAAAGTTACTGACTTTAGTGTAAACAGAAGGTGCTCCATCAGAACCACACGGTGTGAATCCCCAAGATACAATACCAATAATATTATCATCCTGAATCAATGGGCCACCACTGTCACCAGAGCAAGCACTAATACCACCAGTAAGTGGTCCAGTACAAATGTTTGATTCTTCAGATAATGGATTTTCTTCTCCTTGTTCGAGCAGAGACTCAATAGCACCACTACATTCTATAAAAAAGCAAGTATTAGTTAGAATACTGAGTGATTCAAGTTTCTCCAACCCTCAAAAGATAGCAGCGGAATGGTAGTAGTCTGCAGCTGGTCGGGCATTACAGGAATGTCACTGGTTGAAGTCGAGCCCCATCCAGACAAAATTGCGTTTCCAGTGGGAACACTATCAGCTTCTGGCAGAGCGATAGGTTTTACCAAATCTCCGAACGTCAAAGGACTTGCGAGTTTGAGAAGAGCGATGTCATTGGGTCCCACGTCTCCACCGAAATCGGAATGAACGATTTTCTGTACAACGTTGATCGTTTGTTTTTCTGCTGTATCTTCCCACAGATTAGTAACACCAGCTATGACTTTATGGTCTCCAATCTCAGGTACCTCGGTCACGCAGTGACCGGCTGTGAGAACCCATGTTTCGGAAATGATTGTACCTCCGCAGACATGCTGGTCGAAGCCGAGAATTCCCCATTGGTAGGAGATTTGATGGGGAAACTGACCTGGTGCAGCGTCGTCACCGTTGGTAATGCGAGGGCTTGGGCGGAAGAATGCCGGTTTTCGGAGTTGTGCGGCCGGCTTGGCTGTTGAATAATGTGAAAAGTTACATGCTTTATATAGATCCAATTAGTATTTTTAAAAATGAGTTTTTCTTTTAACGTAATGTAGAATTTTTGGAATATGATAAATGGCTTACCTGAAACCACAGCTACGAGGACGACGAGTAACAAAAATGCCTTCATTGCGATATAGAGCACTTAAGTGTAAGTCGTCATGTCTGTACTGCTTTATATAGATTTTTGATGAGAACAAGATAGATATTTAAATTAAATTTCTTACGTTATAGTAATCTTGATTAATCGAAGTCAGGTGTTTTAACAATTTTAATATAGACTGATAAGACACTTGAAAATTAAAACTTGTACTATGTACAGACGTCTGGTAATTTTTGCAAAAGTGACAAGAAAAATGAATGGTGCTGGTAAAGTTGTTAAAATAGTTTAATAAATTATTAATTGATTCTAAGATATTATAATTGCCATTTAGTTTCAGAAATATGTTTTCATTTTATTTTACTATCTAGAAAAATAGAACAGTCATCATAACTTTAACGTGACTGTACTAACACATATGGGTATGTTTCATTTTTTTGTACTCAATAAATAATTATGTTGACGGGGCATGGGTTAGCTACGCGCCGCAGGAAAAAAAATATCTGCAGATAGTCCTAATTCCACAGGAAGGTTGCGCGCAATTTACCTGAGAGGCAAGGGTCAGTTGCGCGCTGCGGTCAGAAAGATTTGCATATCATTTTAAGGATTAGAAGGACCAGCGCGCAAATTGACCAATAACATTTTGTTCCTGCACTTACCATCTAAAATGTTGAAACCTTGCAATTTATAAAAACTTTTATTCTATGTAGTTTAAGTAGTAACTGATGAAATTTTCAAAGATATAGCTATTGCAATTAAAAATTTTACGCTTGTGACTAAGATAACAAAGATTAAAGTGATGCAGAAATAATCTTCGAATGTATATGCAAATTTATGAAGTCATGGGAGAAAAAAAAAACACAAACATTCTCAAAAGGTTCCTATTCTCAAATATCTAGAAGTCTTGGAGTTTCGCTGTATAAATAACTGGTTAATATTTCTGTATTAAATACTTTAAGCATTTATTGCTATAGTCATACAGGCCAAATTTGATTACAAGAGTATCTGTCACAAATTATCTGGAAATATACCATCAATATGTGGAAACTGAAAGGTCTAGGCAGACTCACAGTTTTTTAGAATGAGTTATTCCATTGAGTCACATGATGTATTGTGACTTTCGCAATTGTATATGTAAATGCACAAACAATATACCGCTAGAACCAAAGTTTATTCAACAATAGGTATTGTAAAATTGTGCTAAATATATAAGAAGATGGCTTTTCCTGGTTGTGTAAATATTTTGTTCAGTTTTAGTTTAAATGTTACACATTAAATGTCTTTGATATATCTGATGAAATAATAAGTTAAATACTTATATTGTTATAGACGTAAAAAGTTCTATTGTTTAAAAAATTACAAAAATCGTGCCAAGTTTTCATATGATAACTTTTGTCTATTGTATTAAAAGAATCAAAGTTCAAATACTAAAGAAAACAACACACTAATTACTTTATAAATTACGAATATTTCCATATTTATATTTCTCATCTAAACAATGTCATGTCTGGCTTCTTAAGTAGACAAATATAGTACCAGTATAAGTACATAATACAACTTTAGATGTGCCCAAATTCATTTAAGGCAATTACCAAAGGGCCGACAGCAGTGTACATTTAATTGCACTTTAAAGATGAAATCTATATACAAGAATATGACTTGAATTTTAAGAGGTTTTAAAATGAGATCTTTTATATAAGTTAAGTCTGTTGTAGTGAAAATCGTGTCAATAAAACTCAAATTTAGTTTATTGTTTGTTGTCTATGCTATTCTATTTCGTTCAAGTTTCTTTTAATTGAATGAAATTTGTTAAGCTACTCATTTTTTGCAAATGTTTACTTTTATGTAAAGAGAAAAGTAAGTTATCTGAAAAAGTTTTGAATAAAGTTAGGCTAATCACTACTAATCAGTAATCAGCAGACTTCGGCATTGCAGATGTGATGCTCATTACCGTCCGATCGCCAGGGCTATTACAGTCGTGGCCTACAACTTCGGGAATTCTTAATAACAATTACAACTTTTTTACAGTTATACGAGTTCTCCTAGATGTTAAAATGTTTTAAAAATTAAAAATGACTGTTCAACATCACAATTTTCGTGATGATCTTGATCAGATAAACCCTGAATTGCATCAAACGCCACTGAGGTTGAGACTGCACAGTCGGCCAGCCAAATTTATCGCCTGACGTCGCGCCGCCGTTTTTAATATTTGTCTGATTGATTCCCCATGACTTCGGCCTTGCCTAACTCTGCTAATCAGTAGTCATGCACCATCACTATAAAAAATTTTGAGGGTATACGTGTTCTTCTAAAGATTTTTTTAATTTGCTTATCACAATAATCAAGCAACGATTATTGTCTGCTGGTTTTGAAGTGCTCTTTCCTCGCAACTTGAACTTAATACATGCGTAGTTGTTGTGCTCTAGGTACATACTTATTTTCAATGCCACTCTAGACAAGAAAACATTTTTGAACTAAGTATATTGCACATATAACTAAAAATATAATAAAACCAGTTCTATTATGGCCTTGTGTGATATCTATCAAAATTTAAAAATAAAAATGAAGTATCTTTTTTTATGTGCTGTAAGATGCACGAGGTGAAGCCTATATAAGTATAATTGTCGGTTATATTAGTAACACCATTTGCTGATATGATAAAGTAACCCTGACCAGTACCCTACCGCATCCCTGATTAAATTTAAATTTGAATGTTTATAATAAATACAAGGTTGGAGGTATATTTTTACGATTGCAAATAAAATTTAATGAACTTTCATTCTCGATAAAATAGTCACATTTGTAACTACGAGTTAAAATCGAATTAAAAATAATATTGATTCTGATTTTTTTATGAAAACACCTATCTAGTTACTCAAATAAAAAGTTGTACTGTCTTCTGAGAATTTTGGGAAAATTAAATAAACCATGGTGCTCCCTCCCCCGGAGAGGGAACTGGCGTCCAAGCTACTGCCGTTCCTGACCGAAGGCACCACCCCCGCTGGCGTGAAGGTGTCCGCAGAAGCCTAGGTCGGCCAGACGTGTTTTCATTTCAGCGGCATTTGTCGGTCCAAAGCTTGGCACCGAGGCACGCCGCCCTTACGCGTTATCGGCGAAATTCCGGACCGTCACCGTTCCGTCTCACCGGAATTTCGTCGCAAGGTATAAGACTGGTACAAGCATGAAATTTGCATTAGATTTATGCTCGTTTTGTTTCAAAAGTATTTTTAAAATATTAGCACAGTGTAGAGATCATTCAGCAGGGACAACTCATGTCGGCACCTTTGATGTTTCTGATCCGAATTTTAAGCAGTCGTCGGGGTCGTTGCTTAAACTATTTCTAGATGTCGCCACCCAATTTAAAAAGCATATATTTAATACTACTATATTGCTAACTCTTCAGAAGTAACATAGAAGCGGTGTTCACGGACAGAGAGAGACAGAAGATGTTGTTTTCTGTCTACAAGAGTACCGAGGGTCTGTGCGCATGTACACAAAATAGAAGCGAAAGTACGAAATGTCAAAACGCATCCAGTTACGCTATCGACTACAAATCAAGCAATTACGAGTGTATGCGCAGCACTGTTTAGTACCACAGAGAGAAAGAGGTCCAATATATTGCTCGGCCGTTATGTTTTCGGACTCTTTTGTGGCCAGTTAGCAATATAGTACTATTAGATATATGTTAAAAAGTATCACAATCGCTTCATTTGAAAATTTAAAAATTGATTCGTGTACGCAATTTACTACACACTACTTTGCATAAATCGTAATATCGTAAATCCCAAAATGAAAAGAAAGAAATCTATATTTAATCTAAAAACGTGATGATTTGTTTCAGATTTAAATTTATTACTCGCACAATTCACACATTCTTTCTTAGGCTACTTGTAGTTTTGTGATAAATATCAAAATAATGTAATAAATACGTATAAAAAACAAAAACGTTATTAGGAAACGCTAATATATATTTTATTTTTTTTAAACAATTACTAAACAATGATTTCATCAAAACATGAAGAATGTTTTTTAGAATGCCTCTATGTAAATTACATTTAACTAAATAAAATAATTTAATCAGCCTTGAATCAGCAAAAGCAATGCAATCAAACTGCCCAATTTCAAATATTTCAGCCTGAAATCACTAGTAGTCATTGGATAACCGCAATTCAATGTTCCAACATGTAAGACAGAGAAGTACCCAACCAGTACCAGTACTTTGCGTTGCGTATGTACCCTCATACGGTAACGAAACAAACGACCACTCAAAATAGCAAGTTGTTCCTATTCAATGATCTGTATGCTCTATACTGTAATAATACAGGAAACGTTAGGTAGGGTAGACAACCAAAATATCACTTATAAAGTTAATACTGCTACACGTCACTAGCTGGCGATTTTGTACGCCAGTTTTTGTTTTAAACAATTTTCACTTTTCATCATTGAAATCAAGAAATCATGTTACATCACTGGTTATATCTTATTCGGCTACTCTAGCATTTAAGTTGTACTTTGCATCACCTTGTCTGCATCACTTATTAATGTTGCATGGATAGGTAGACAGGCATCTAACTATTTAGTTATAAACACGCAAATGATGTTTTTTTTTTATTTATGATTCATGCTGTTTTACGTAATTGTTTTGATAATAATCAAATAAAAAGATCTCTATACAAATGATTGATTTTTTTTTGTCTTTATTTTCTTGATTATATGAGCAGAAAAATAAGAAATTGGTCATTCCACTCGGATGAGTTCCTCCATTCGCCTTTGGGTCGTTCCGGAAACTCTCGTCCTCGTGAAATGCCCAACTTTCTCACTCGTTGAACAGTATACTGTTGATATTATAGAAAACTACCCTTTTGCTAACTGTATTACCGACATAAGCTTGCGCATGTGCGCACTTGACAATGCAAGTTCAGTTGATGTACCACGTTGTTGCAATACACATTTCAATCGTTTCGTTCAGTTTTATTCACCTATAATTTCCAAACAATCAATTCCACTGGATAAAGCAAAACCTTGCTACAGGTTATGGGCCCAGGGTACTGCTGATTGTTTGGCCGCGTATAAAAATAAGGTGAATCCGATATATCTCAGTGATAAAAACTTTTGTGTTCCGGCAACAAAATGGCAGCGTCCACGCTACCACCGATCGAAAAACTACTAGGGCGCGAAAACTTCAACTCATGGAAATTCGCAATGCAAACATATTTGGAGCATGAAGAGTTGTGGGAATGTGTTGAGGGTACGAACACTACGGCAAAACAAGTTGCAAAGGCTAAGGCCAAAATAATCCTGTCGATACACCCCATAAACTATGTCCACGTGCAAAATGCGAAGACAGCGAAAGAGGCATGGGAAAATTTAATCAAGGCCTTCGACGATAAAGGACTTACGCGAAGAGTTGGCCTGTTACGTACCTTAATCACAACTCAGTTGGAAAATTGTGATTCCGTAGAAGAGTACGTTAACAAGATTATTTCAACAGGACATAAATTGACGAATATTGGTTTTGTTGTAAGTGATGAATGGCTCGGGACGTTATTACTTGCTGGATTGCCAGACCATTATCGCCCGATGATAATGGGACTAGAAAGCTCCGGTATCGCCATTACCAGTGACTCCATCAAGGTGAAACTATTACAAGAGGTCAAGGTCGATACAAGCAGTTCAAACAAAAATGGAGTAGCGTTCTTCGGAAACCACGCCGAAAAGAAGAACTATACTAAAAATGGGCCACGGTGTTTTGAATGTAATAAAATTGGTCATCTCGGGAAGAATTGTTTTAAACGAAAGGCTCGCCTGCAGAGAGAAAATGGCAAATCTTCCAACACGAAGGAAGCGAAATCCTTCTTAACAGTCTTGTCAACGGGAAACGATCATGTTGAAAAAAATGAATGGTATATCGACTCCGGCGCATCGGTCCATCTAACTAACGACAAAACATGGCTGACATCCGCAAGCAAACCTCCTTCATCCACGCAGGAAATTATAGTAGCCAATAAAAATCGTCTAAATGTCGATGCAGTGGGGGAGGTAAATTTGGACGTTTGTACAGGTGGTACACCTGACAAAATAAACGTAAAAGAGGTTATGTTTGTGCCAGATTTGACAACTAACTTGCTGTCTGTGAGCAAAATAACCAATAAGGGGCACAAGGTCTACTTTGAGAGCAGTAAATGCAGTATATACGACAAAAGCAACGCCCTCATCGCCAGTGCCACACTGAAGAATGGCATGTACAAACTGGATCGACCGAAAAATAAGGTGCACGGTGCTAACTCAGTATCGGTTGCTGACAATATACATCTATGGCATAGCAGACTAGGCCATCCGTCAACGGACAGCATGAACCGAATAAAAAACGGGGTCGTTACGGGAACGAATTTCAAAAATTCGCTGAGTGAACCTTGCGAGGTATGTGTGCAGGGCAAACAACACCGTCTACCATTTAAGCCACATGTCAAGAACTCAAGCCGACCCTTGGAACTAATCCATTCAGACCTATGTGGTCCTATGGAGGAAAATTCATTGGGAGGATCAAAATACTTTCTCACTTTTGTGGACGACTTCACCCACAAAGTATTTGTTTACTTCCTAAGAAACAAATCAGAAGTACACGATGTTTTCCAAGAATTCAAGAATATGGTAGAAAATCAAACGGGAAATAGAATCAAGACTCTGAGGACTGACAATGGAACTGAATATGTCAACAACAGGTTGCTCAAGCTGCTGAAATTGTCTGGTATTTGTCACCAAACAACGATTCCACATACGCCCGAACAAAATGGAGTTGCAGAGCGGATGAACCGCACCATCATAGAAAAAACGCGTTGCTTATTAATTGGTGCCAATTTGAAGAAAAGGTTTTGGGCAGAAGCCGTAAATACAGCTGTCCACTTGATCAACAGAGCACCGACAAGAACATTGAAAGACGTCACACCAAATGAAGCTTACACAGGTAAGAAACCTGATCTATCCTATTTAAAAGTGTTTGGTTGTAGGGCATTTGTTCACGTGCCTAAACAACAACGCAGAAAATTGGACCCGAAGTCAGAAGAATGCATTCATGTGGGCTATGCAAATGGTTCGAAAGGCTACCGGCTCTATCACATAAGAAAACAGAAAATTGTGGAGGCTAGAGATGTTGTATTTTTTGAAAAAGAACTTCCAAATGCATCGCAAAGTGAAAACAATGATTGGTTGTTTTACCCAATCACCGAGAAAACGAACCTCCATGATCATACTGAAGAAAGTGAAGAGTGTGAGATCGAAGAAACTCAAGCAGAAGAAATTGATGAACAAGAAATTGAAGAAATTCAGGTTGAATGTAATGTCCATGAAATTGAAACCAATGATGATGTTGAGCAAGTCGAAAACACAGAAAGAGAAGAACCCGCTATAAGAAAATCAAGTAGGGAAAGAAAAGCAAAGGAATTTTCTGAATATATTTGCTACCATGTTCAGTCGTTGACGAGGGAGCCCAAAAATGTTGAAGAAGCTGTTTCGAGTCCTGAGTGTACAAGATGGCTTGAAGCAATGCAAGCTGAATACGATGCACTCATTGAAAACAAAACGTGGACTCTCACAGATTTGCCAACCAATGCCAAAGTGATTGACAGCAAATGGGTATTTAAAACAAAATTAGATCAAGACGGGAACATAGATCGATTTAAAGCCAGACTTGTAGTGAAAGGCTGTTGTCAACGTAAGGGGATAGATTATCAAGAAACCTATTCACCTGTGGTACGATACAATTCGATTAGATTGATCTTAGGGCTTGCAGTCAAGTATGACCTTGACATTGATCATATGGACGCAGTGACTGCGTTCTTGCAAGGAGATCTTAACGATGACATTTTTATTCAGCAGCCTGAATTATTTGAAGTTAGAGGCCAAGAAAATAAAGTTTGCAAATTAAACAAGGCAATGTATGGTTTGAAGCAAGCTGGAAGACAATGGAATTTGAAGTTACATCAAGCGTTTATAGAAATTGGGCTAAATCAATCAAAACGAGATGACTGCATATATTATCTTTGCAAGGATAATAAGATTGTCATTGTCGCAGTCTATGTAGATGATTTACTCATTTTGGGCAACGATTCAAAAATGAAAAATGAATTGAAGAAAGAATTGGAAAGCAGATTCAAAATGAAAGATTTGGGAGAATTACAGTATATCCTGGGAATTCGGGTAACAAGAGACAGAAAAGAGGGCAAATTATGGTTGGACCAATCAAAATATTTAGAAGAGGTTTTATCAAAATTCAACATGGCAAACTGCAATCCGACTAAAACTCCGTTAAGTCCATCCGAGAAGCTAACAAAAGAAATGTGCCCAAAATCAACGAACGAGGTTCAAAACATGGAGAATGTACCATATCAAGAGGCAGTTGGGTCATTAATGTATGCATGTCAGGGTACGCGTCCGGACCTGGCATATTCTCTAGCGTTATTGAGCCGATTTAACAATAATCCAGGCTCTGCTCACTGGTCAGCTGTGAAACGAGTCCTTCGATACATCCAGGGCACAAAGGACTTCAGACTCTGTTTTACAAGGACAGAGAATGGAAAACTTGCAGGTTTTTGTGACGCAGACTGGGCAGGTGATGAAGATGAGAGACGGTCAACCACAGGATATGTCTTTACATTCCAAGGGGCCCCTGTATCATGGAATAGCAAGAAACAACCCACCATTGCTTTATCCACAACTGAAGCAGAATACATGGCTCTAAGTGCAGCGGCGCAAGAAGCTATTTGGTTACAGGGCCTTCTAAATGAATTAATGCCTGAAGTCGATGACGAAGGACCTATTCTGAAATGTGACAATAAAAGCGCAGTGGATCTGAGTCGAGTGGGAGGATACAGAGCAAGGACAAAGCACATAGATGTGAGACATCATTTCCTTCGTGAGCAAATTCAAGAAAAGGCCATACAAGTTCAACACATTGCTTCGAAGGAAATGACAGCTGATGTGATGACCAAAGCATTACCTCTGGAACTGCATGAAAAGCACCTGAAGGAAATGGGACTCAAGAAGCGTTAATTTTACTTTATTTAAATTTAAAAATTTTTGTTGTTGATAGTTGTAGTTTTCTAGTGGGAGTGTTGATATTATAGAAAACTACCCTTTTGCTAACTGTATTACCGACATAAGCTTGCGCATGTGCGCACTTGACAATGCAAGTTCAGTTGATGTACCACGTTGTTGCAATACACATTTCAATCGTTTCGTTCAGTTTTATTCACCTATAATTTCCAAACAATCAATTCCACTGGATAAAGCAAAACCTTGCTACATATACTACTTCCCAAAATCCTGAAATCAGGAACACCGCTCTATTTTTCATACTTTGTTGACAAATAGGAATGGCTTACAGTTAGTGTTAGGTAATATAAATAAATAAAAGCACAGTTAAATGATGATAATATAGTAGACTGTTTAAGTCAAATTTATTTAGGCAAATCAGTTACATACTCGTTAATAAAATCAATAAAGTTGCTGACCCTGGTATACACAGAAGGTGCTCCTTCATAACCGCACGGCACAAAACCCCAAGATACAATGCCAAGGACGATGTTATCCTGAATCAGTGGACCACCACTGTCACCTGAGCAAGAACTAACTCCAGCAGTTGATAGGGTGCAAACGTTTGAATCTTCAGACAATGGATTATCTGCATCTTCTCCGAGTAGAGCTTCAATAACAGAATTACATTCTAGAAAAAAAAAATAGATAGGATACCATTGATTAACAATTTTTCAAACCATCAAAAGACACCAACGGAAGGGTAGCAGTTTGCAATTGGGTAGGCGACAGGGGAAAGTTAGTAGGTGAAATCGAGCCCCATCCCGACGAAACGGTATCTCCAGTGGCAACACTACCAGCTTCTGGCAAAGCGATAGGTTTTACCAAATCTCCAAACGTCAAAGGACTTTCAAGTTGGAGAAGAGCAATGTCATTGGGTGCTACGCCACCAACGTAATTAGGATGAACAATTTTCCGTGTAACGTTTATTGTTTGTTTTTCTGTCGTATCTTCGTACAAGTTGGTAATACCAGCTATGACTATATGGTCTCCATCTTCAGGAACTTCGGTAATACAATGGCCGGCTGTGAGAATCCATGTTTCGGAAATGATTGATCCTCCGCAGACATGTTCGTGCACGCCACGAAATCCCCATTGGTAGGTAATTTGATGGGGGAACTGACCTGGTGCAGCATCTTCACCATTGACAACGCGAAGACTCGGGCGAAATAATGGCAGATTTAAGCGTTGTGAGGACGGCTTAGCTGTGAATATTTTGTGCTTAATCAATTCAAATTTAAGATTACTTTTAATGTGACTTAAAATAATCTTCAGAAGTTTTAACAAAGAATTTAGGGAAAATTTAACTTTTACATAGGAGGAACTATATTTTAAACAGAGTTATTCTGTTGACGCAATATAGGTTTTTTATAATACGATATTCAACTTACCTGAAACAGCAGCCACAAGGACGATTATGAACAAAAATGTTTTCATTGCGGTACCTTAACTGGCTATAATTCTGTCTGTACTGCTTTATATACTACAGATTCTTAGTGAAAACTAGATAGATATTTAAATTAAATTTATTACTTATACGAGTAGCACTTTTGATTAATCTGTAGTCAAGTGTTCTAAAAATGTTGGTACACTACTTCATTGATAAAAAAAATACTTGAAAACCAGAATTTCTAGCCTTGCAAAGTTTTTAAAAATTTCATAAGCGACATTTTCAAAAAATTTCTTTAGAAATAATTTACCACGTGTTTTCTTTCTTCCTGAAGTTCTCATTTTCCTTGTCTTTATATGTCCTGAAGATGCTCTTTACAAAAGTGAAGAAAACTTTGAAACCCATTTCAAATTTGATACGGTCCAAACCTGGAAAACTTCTTTATTTAGGTATAAGTACTCTGACCGTGAAAACCGCAACAAAAGTATTGGTATAAATAATATAACTTTGTTAGTGGGCAGTAAATTACTTTAAAGTAATATTGTCGAGAGCTTAATCCACAGTCTTAGGACGCGTAGACAGAACGGATCTCGAATACCATCACCATCACCACACGAGTATATAATGGAGTTGCATGTCAAAGTTCACCTACAATGTGTCTCATTTAAAATTGTAACAACACCTTAATTTTCTTCCTGCTCCACTACAGAATTATTTTTGGATCACTCTGGAAAAACGGAGTAATTTTACCGAGGAAAATTATACAGAATAAAAGAACACGAGTAATTGTCGAACTGAATTAAAGTCTATAATTAGACTTTTAATTGCTTATAATTTTGTTTTTTATATTCAAAACTTATCTTTGAGTTGGTAAGTAAGCAATGAAAACTAATGTAATTGCCTAATTGCAAATATTAGGTATAGAATCAACTGACGTTTTGTACTAGATTGACAAAATTTTTGGAAAACGATATGGCATGTCATTTTCTTGAAATTCTAGCAATATCAAACTGCTATTGATATACATATACAAAAAAGTTGATGACGTCATCACAATATTATTCTTATTAATTCATATTGATTTAAAATTTCACTTGAAATGTATACGGACAGCATGTCATTTTACTTACAATTTAATAATGGACATGTATGTATTTTTATTTTAACTTAATAAAATTTGAGAATGTATTTAATAAACTGGATTTGTTTAATTGTTTTAGAGAGGAGGAAAGTTTTATCCAAACAACTTGAGACCAATTTTTATGTTATTTTTAAATCATATGTCCCGTTAAGATCTTTCTGTCTTATTATCAAAATAATCAGTTGGTGATTGTTTACCAGTTTAGACCTGCCGCTTCCGCTCTACTTGAATAAGACACGCGTGAATATTGTGCCAAAGGTACTTGTTTCCAGTGCCAGTCTAGCCAACAAATTTTAAAACAATTACAGGATGTACATCACTTAGCTAAATAAAAATAAACACCAATACAGATTTTTTTTAGTTCTATTGTCATTTTCTGTAACACATGTTACATAGCAGAATTTAAAAATAAAAATGATACATGTTTTTTAAGTGTTCTCGCCAGGTGTATACGGTGAAACAACTGGAAAATTATAATTGTATGTAGTGTCACTAACACCATTTTTGCTGATATAAATATCATCGTTCGCACCAGCATCTTTGCCTGTATGATATTTGGAAAAATTTCTTAAAATTCAAGCAAAAACTCTAAACATTAACAAAATGCTTGTGGCCTATAAAACAAATTCAAATCACATTTGAATTTATGACTAAATGAGTTGGTTCTTTTTTACTATACCTACATCCATCTCTACGTTAATCATTAAGTAAGTACCTATGTATACACATATAGTAACTACAGTTACTTCACCTTAAAATGTTAATTGTAAATCTTTCTTCCTAAAGGTTGATTGTACCTACTGAATTTAAACAAAATTATGTGTATTTGGTGTATACTGATAATGCCGATTGTCCCAGTCTATACTTTGAAGCGATACCCAATATAAGAAAATCGTTAAACATAGGCAACCATGTCCACGTTCTTTTTTTCTAGTAGTTGGTAGCTACTCTAGAGAATTTGTGGGTAGTAATATGGTAAGAGGGTTGGTAGTGAAGTTGACACGCTTGATAGAGGACTGAAATGCGTCATTGTTTGGTATGAGTAAAAGCACGCAGTAAAAAAGCTAGATTAAGTTTAGTTGGTTTGGTAGTTAATAAAGGGGGGGGGGGGGTACCTTGTTTAACGAAAATTAATCGTACCGATGGCGACGCCACAATTTTGGCAACAAGAGTAACTAATTATTGCTGTTTTTCTGATCGGAAACGTGCAAATTTTCGACCGATGCTAACACATGGTGTACATTTGATTTATTGTTTGTGAATTCACAGTTCACGTTAAGATTTTAATCTTAGTGGTTCTAACACAATTTAACAGTCATGAGATTGTTCAGATAAAGCATTTGCTAGGAGATTTTATGGGATTGACTTATTCAGGTCTCTTTGTTTTGTTTATCAAGTTATAAATACTGTTACGTCGATCGGTGAAAAAAATCGGCGTGGGTTAAACTCAGCAATTGATTTCTCACTAAGTCAAATTTACACGACTTCGCTGGATTCTGTCTTACCTCAACTCGATTCGTCAACTGAATAATAATCGTTCCCGAAGGTGGCCTCTATTTAAAAGCCATACTTCCTTCTAGATGTGCGGTGATCGGAATTTTTCTGGATTGCTGTTCGCGACTTCCGCTTTCAGGCGTTTCTTTAGCATTTGCTAATAGTTCATTTACGGTAGTTAATTTAACCTAAGGTTGTCCCACTTTGGGAAAACGAACCGTGGAAAGTACAGCAGGACTCATAATACCATGGACTGAGGGACGAGGGGATTGAACTATTTCTTAGGTAGTAATCATCCGGATACCACCGTTCAACAACTACCCGGAAATTACCGAGACGTATTTCTCGCGACGAGGAGGGAGATTGCATCACCGAGACGTAATTCTGGCGACGAGGGATGCATTTTGTGTTTATTTATCATGTGTTTGTTTGGGATAGGTTGGGGACAGTCCACGATATAAACTCTCAAAGCTAATTTTTTTTTAAATAACCAATCACTTGGCGTAATTTAACGTCATGTAAATTCTTTGTTTGAATCGTTGATAAAATGTGGCATAATTTAACATCTCGTAAAATATGCATAATTTAGTGTTGTTCGTTTTTCTCCCTTGCAATTATAATACTCTGTTTCCGTTTGATATCGCCAAAAATCGGGATTAAATCTAACTGTAATAAATGCGCGGGATCGCGTGGAACTCAGATGGAGTGGCGGGGTCGACTTTGCGTGAAGGTGTACCTGTAATCCCAGTTTTCCTCTGTCGTGGACTGTGGTCGTGGACTAAGCTACCTTATTTGCGGGGATGGACGTAGGCCGCAGTTGATGCGAGTGTTTGAATACATGGCCCGTCGTGTGGCCCTGGTTGGGGGCAATAAGCATTCACGAGCAGGTGCCCTCGCGCCACTGTTGCTGTGCGCTCCCGCTGCACAGAGTTTATATTTAAATTTTGCTGTCTAGTTGACTGCCTTTGCTGTTACACATCCGTAATAACTTGTGCATCTGCATCGAGTTACTTTAATTCAGATTTTTCCATGTTTTTATTAAATTTGTGATATTCAAATATTTGCATTGTGGTGACCGAATTTGAATCAAATTTTCGCGCTTAAGTAATTTGAAAGCCAATGTGAAAAAAAAATTCAATAAAAAAAATCGTTAAACACAGGCAACCATATATGCACGTTAGCGCTTGGGGTAGTTCTGCATGTTTTAGTTAGAGGGCGGTAGTCGGGTTGGCGGAGGAGAGTGGCATGTTAAACGCATGGGGGAGACCATTACGTTTTTGTTCGATGTAGTGGACGCATGGTGAAAAGACGCTGTAAGTAGCTAGGTTAAATTAGCTGGTTTGGTAGTTAATAAAAGGGAGGAAGCTTTTGTTTAACGAAAATCAATCGTAACGCCCATGGCGCCCAGTTTCCCCAGTCCGCGGAAAAGTGTTAATTTTCGGGACCAACGCGGACCACCTCGTGTAAATTTGTTTTATTGTTTGTAAATTCACCAATCAAGTTAGTTTTTTAATCGTCAGCTAGTGCTGACACAATTTAACAATCAGGATTATTTAAATAAAACACGTACTAGGAGATTTCATGAAATTCATTTAGTCAGAATAATAATTCTTTGTTCAACAAATTACGAATGAAGTCTCTGGATGCACATATGTAAGTGTTACATTATAAGACTTCTTAATTCTTCACACAAGACTGCTAATGTTCATTTACGGCAGTTCAATTAACAAAATTCATTATACTGTGAACTGGTGAGGGGTTAAAATAATTTCTTCCCTTAGGCAGTTATCATCGTGATTAGCATCGTAATCATCATTACATCACTGAGGCATGTCCTCGCAACGCTAAAGATTGATTACATCACCGGAGCATGCCCTCGCAAAGCTAAAGATTGATTACATCACTGAGGCATGTCCTCGCAACTCTAAAGATTGATTACATCACCGGAGCATGCCCTCGCAAAGCTAAAGATTGATTACATCACTGAGGCATGTCCTCGCAACACTAGAGATTGATAACATCAACGAGGCATGTCCTCGCAACGCTAGAAATTGATAACATCAGCGAGGTATATCCTCGCAACGTTAAAATTTACACCGTCGGGGTACTTCCTCTCAACATTAAAATTTACATCATCGAGGCATTTTCTCGCAACGATAAAATTTACATCATCGAGACGCTTTTTCCTCGCAACGATGACTGGATATTTTTGTGTTTATTTATTAGGTGTCTTGTTGGGGTAACCAGTTCACGGTATTCTAAACTCTCAAAGCAAATTTTTTTTTTTGAAGTAGCCAATCACTTGGATCACGATATAATTTAACTTAATGTAAACTCTTTGTTTGAATCGTTAGCTACAAAACTTATTCAGGGGGGGGCAAGTTTGTCAACAGGGGGGGCTTCATGTAAATATATATATTTCAATAATAATATACTCAGATAACTTCTTTATTTTTTCATTAAAATAATTGTAAACGTCGTTTTTTCCGCTATTA